CAACATCATTTTGTGTGTAATTCTCCATTCATGCGCTGTGAGACGCGCTTTCTGTGTGTGTATGCTTCAGTGTCTGCGCTCAGAAAACCAGACCGAATTGAGTTCTCTCTTGCGGCGTCAGATTTATCCATATGTCTGCTCTTCTCTTACTCCCACATATTGACATTTTTGAATGTTTTATGCAATGTGCAGCAAGTGTTTGTTAGCTTATGTCCCGCCGGTTCATATGTATGTACGCATCTAACCTCCGAACCACGCAGCAGATTCGTTCTGAATGAATCTCTTCCAAAATCGTCCCTCCCTAACATTTTCGTCTCGTTTTTATTCGTTGACGAAAATGTCAATAGATTTACGTCATAGTTTTTGTCATTCCAAAACAGTTTTAGTTTGTTATCATCTCGTTGTCGTCGGTGAAAAAAATGTAGTTGACGAAATTAACACTGGTTTACAGCCATTATCAGAGAAACTGCTATATTTCTGACGTTCCAAAAGTGCCTCCTGCTGGCAGAGATTTACATTTTCAATTGGCTATGTGCACAAGATGGCGTCGGTGAGTTTCGGTGACGTGAGTGTAGGCATGCTTACTTCCGGTCTGCAATGTTCACATTTACTGTGATGGAAAACTTTCATACGAAACTTGGCTAGATAGATATAATCAATGTTTTTTCTAATTAAATAGTGGATAGTGGTATATCAAAGACAAGAGAAAACATCCTCATTATATTATTGCATACCTCTGTGTGGTAATTCATCAAGATACAGCGCGGAGATCGCTTCATTCTTTCTTCTGTTCTTCGTCAGTGGTTAGTCAAAATCAACAAGTATCTCTTCATTCAAACACAAACCACTCAAATGTGCAATACTGTACATTTTCAGAGAGTTGATACTGTTCTGACTGGACTGTCAAACGAGATGCTCAGAGATTTCTGCATTATGGACTTTTTTCATTATGTATTTTTTCTTAACTTTATTTGGTAAACTTATTTATAACTGTATCTGTACAATTTAACCTAATTTAATTATAGTAGGTTTGCATTTATTAAAAAAATCAGTGTTTGTATTTCCCTGCATGTATTTATTAATATTTATCTGTTTTGTTAAAATTTGTTTGCATAAATCATTATCTGTCTGGTGTCTATAAGCAGCGCATACAGTATATTTTTAGGAATTGTTTGCATTAATTAATAAATAAAACAAATATTTAAATTAGTCATAACTATTTATTAATTTTATCTTTTTTACAGCTTGTGTTTTAATTTAAAAATATGTTTGATGCAAAGATAACTGTGTAAATGTAAAATATGTTGTGACAATATGGAACAAACTGACGTTCAGAATTGAGAAACGGATATTTATGAAGATCAATTGGTGTCTCACAAGGCAAGTGTATTTCAGTTCAAAAAAAGTCAATGTAATACAAACATTTTTTTTCAGAAATAATAATTTGTAAATTTACATAATTTGTAAGGGAAAAATAATACATACTACATAATTGTGTAGCTGTGTACACACCATGAGTTCAAGTCAACTTTCATATAATTCATTCACCTCTGCCTAACTCAAACTTTCGTAAGATTCAAATGCCACTAGTTCAATAAACATATAGTATAGTAATAATAGCAATGTAGATCTTAGTTGGGAGTTCAATATGGACTTGATCAAATATGCTGTCTGTCTGTCAATGTCTAAGGAAGGTGGTGGGGTACTCGATGGGAGATTGGTAGCTAGAAGACCAGGGACAGCTGGTTTCATGCGGGATACATGAAATGATGGGGCTAGTCGAGAGTGGCGAGAACGTATGAGTTTGTAGGTGACGTCATTGATTAGTTTAAGAATCTTAAAGGGGTCATATAATGCTACATGCACTTTTACAAGTTGTTTGAACTGAAATGTGTGTTGGCAGTGTGTGTACACAACCACCCTAAAATGATAAAAATCCACCCAGTGGTATTTTGTGTCGTGTTACGTAATGACGTCATTGCGCAGTGACATCACAACGTCATTTAGCAACTTTTAGCAACAAATCGACCTTCCTTTAGCAACTTCCCCTGAAAATTAGTTGGCAACACTGGACTGGTGTCGACCCGCCCTGGGTGAGCTGTCATCAGTCTGCCATTGTTTCACGGCTGGAGCAGATGTAGACAAGAATGTCTCCTAAGTGATTGAAGTGTTTTTTTGTTGGATGTAATAATGAACATTGCAGTCGTCATTTACTCCCGACATCTGAGCCGCTGAACTCTTAGTGGATTACGTATGTTTTTGAAGGGAATGCTCCCCAATCTACCTAAATGCCTTTATGTTCGCCAAATCATTCGTGATCCAGCGTCACCTACAGAAGAAGTGAGTATAAGGTTTTTTAATGAATCTTTGCAAATCGCCTTTCCTAATAATGTGCTAATTAGCAAGTTTCACCATGAATGCAGCTAAAGTAAACAGTCTCTCTGAGAGCAGCTCGGAAGAGAGGGGTTTACACTACCATTGAGAAATTTTAACCAAACTATGTTACAGACTTTTCAATTAAAACCCTAAAGAATCATATCAACTTGTGGAAAATGGGCATCGGATGACCCCTTTAATGAACTGCATCTTTTTTTCCTTGGAAACAAATGTGGGACAACAAATGTGTGTTCAGTGGCTTTTTTGAAGCAAAGACTTTAAGGTATGTACTAGTACAGAAAGCGAAAATAAACCTTACTTTAAGTAATGTTTTATGTGTGTGTAAAGTTTCACCACATTTTTGACTGTCATTTAATAATCTGCTTATTATATAATGCATGTTTCAATGAAATTCTCACTGAAAATTACTTCATGTTACAGAAAACCTTCTTAATATAAAAAATTGGTATTCAAACAAAACAGTATACAGACAATTTCAGAGCATAAATTCTATTTATTATTTGCCTGTAGTACATAGAAGATGCATAATTTTATATATACATACGTTTATGTATATATTCACAGACAGACAAACAGGAGACTCTCACAGCCTTACACACACACACACGTGTCACATACAAACAGATCACAGATAATGTCCATGTGCTCCCAGCACATCATGGAGAATCAGTTTCTGTATGGCATTGCATTGATGACATGTCTTCTCAGGAGCAAAAATGGTCTTATTACGTCCAAATGTTCATCCATCATCATTATCATCATCACTCTGTCCTCCCGATGCTGATGTAGAGCCCCCGTCAGCCCAGGATGTCCAGCCAAAAGCCTCCTGCTTCTCTGGTCTAAGGCAATGGAGCTCCACGTTGTATGGAGAGACAGGAAAAAAGAAAATACAAAAACTACAACTAAAAGTACTGTGCAAAACCAGGTCAATGGATTTTCTATGAAGAATAGATCCCTCACCTTCATTAACTACACACTTACAGTCACTCCACACAAGGTATGAGTTCAAACACGAGAAAATCTTCACTTCAATAGCAGCCACTAACCACCAGAACTTTTTTTTTTTTTCCCGTTTTGATTAATTAAGAGGACAGATTTAACGCCAAACGCGCATTCCCTACTACCACTTCTAATTTCTAGCAATTACTTTGTCTTTATATAAAATTTGAGAGTTAAGAAAAATAGAGACTTGATTTCTATGCTCTCTTGTGCTTTCTTTTTTAGACAGAGTGAGAGGGCTGGGCGTAATTTCATTAAGCATAAACCATCTTTCATTAAAAAAAAAAAAACATCAAACAGCTATTCAAGCACATCCCAGCTTTGGGTGTGATCATACTGCCCGTGGTCTTTTTATATTCAACAAAAACCCGCAAATTAATGCCAAGAATTTAAAGTCTATGAGAAAACCCTTTTTTTTTGCCCCCACAAACAAGAGGGGAAAAAAACTCATATATCACTTGGCTGAGTCCATGAGGACTCGCAATATATATATTTTTTAAGTTTATGAGTCCCTTATGATGTCATAAAAACATATTTTAAAGTATCTGGTACTGAAAATTCAAATAAGTCACTAAAATACATATCATTGCACTATGTACACAAAGTTCACTAAACACACAAGTGCACCAGCAAAGAAGGTGAAATGATCATTACTGAGCAGTTTCACACACTCGTACTTGTACTTTCGTGAGTCACTACGGCCTATATTGCATTAATCACTCCATAGCCACCTTCAGACTTTCGATGACTTCAGTGTTTTTTTTATCGCTAAATACATTTTTCGGTTGTGTTACTACAATAAACAGTATTGATTTTAAAACTAAAGGGAAAAAAATAGGATCCACGAAGCAAAAAGCAACAAAACACTTCAGCTTGACCAATATGTGAGATCAACCACTATTGTGACATTTTAATGCAAGATCAAAAACTATGTAATGCAGGAAAGAAGTGTTATATATTATAAATGTAAAAAAAAAAAAAAAAATTATATATATTTATTATTGGCTATTATTTAATGTAATGTTTTAACAATGTGTTAAAACTAGTGTAGCTGAACTATTGTCAGACCTAGATAAAGTACTTTATTTAGCAGTAGTTTATGTCTTCTGTTGCAGGACTCCTTGACGGTTTTCTAGTGTGGTTCAGATATTAACCAAGAAAAATCATGCAGGGGCCATTTTTCAGAGTAATTATTAGATTTGAGCATTTTTTTTAATTTTAAGTAACATGCTAACATGAAAAACAAAAAATAGCATGTTTATTTTTGTTTTTCCATGTTGGCATGTTACTTACAATAAAAAAAACTTAAAATAATATTTATTATTATTTTATTTTTTTATTAATTAATTGCTGCACCAAATCCACTCAGACTTGGTGCTCGCAAGTGATATAAAGAGAAATGCTTATTTCTCAACACAAACTGGGTAGCTGAAGTGTCCATTGAGTAGTTTAAAACAACCAAACAAACATATAAACTCAAAAAAGCTAACATGTGGTTAAATAAAAGTCTTATGTGATGCACATTTGCATGTGTGTGTGTGTGTGTGTGTGAGTGTCTGTAAAGTTGGGCTTAATTCTTTGAGTCAAAAGTGCAAAATTCACGATGAGACTTTTTTTTTTTCTTTCTTTGCGTGTGTATGTGCAGTGCCATTGGTTTTGCTCCACTGCAGCTTCGGCAGAAATCAAATGAGCCCTTTATGGAAACAGACACTGAGAGAGAAAGAAAGAAATAGAGATTGAATGTTAAAGATGCGTTTTTAAAAGTCCTCCGGTATGTTTCTCGAAGGTTCTTCTCCTTCCAGTGTAAGTGTTGCTACAGTGGAATGGTGCGTGACCGGCTTGTCTGGGTGTCGTCGATGAGAGACAAAGGAATCACATGATAAAGTCGTCGGGGTGCAAAAGATCTCCTGCAGATTTCCCTGTCCAGCAGGACCATGCAGGAGAGGTTTAATTATCAGTGTGGCCTCCTTTATCCCATGATGCCACAGGCACACCATCCCACACCCCAGTCGAGCGGACAGTTTGTCTCTTTATGCAAAGCGGCCATGTGAGGACAGGACTCAAGGGTTGTGTGTGGGGGGGTTGGGGGTCAGTGCAGGCAGCAGTCAGTTAGTTTCGTAGGACGAGAGCAAGGCAGCATCTACAGGCTCCATACAGGAGGGACACGTAAAGGACCTCATCAGCCAGTCATCTATGCAGTCCAGGTGGTAGATGTGCATGCAGGGGAGGAACCGGATGAGGTCTCCGTACACAAAGTCCATCATGCAGATCACACACCTGCGCAAAGAGAGAACGTGTTAACACACACCGCGATAAGCTTGGCAACAAAGGGCACAGCGTTTCCATAGGCTGCTGACAGGGTTGGGCATAATGCAGAATTTAAAAGTTGGTCACGCCCTGCAGCATGCTGAATCGCAATGACAGAAAGATACATTTACTGAATTGTAATTCAAAAAAAGTTCAATAGTCACACAACAGAATGGTCAGGAACAGACACTTATGAGATGTCCTCATTAAGATTCCATTTTGTAAATCAGCTTAATTTAAATTAGAGCATTCTGGGATTGTATAAACTACCATTCAAAAGTTTGGGGTTGAGATTTTTTTTTTTTTTTTATGTTTTTCAAAGAAATCTTAGTTTGATCAAAAAATAAAGTAAAAAAAAGTAATATTACGAAATGGTTAATAAAATTTAAAATAACCTTTTTCTATTTTAATATATTTTAAAATTGAATTTATTTCTGTAACAGCAAAGCGGAATTTTCAGCAGCCATTATGTCAGTCTTTAGTGTCACATGATCCTTCAGAAATTATTCTAATATATTCGATTTGCTGCAAAAAAAAAACAAAAAAAAAAACCTTTCTTCTTATTATATATGTTGGAAACAGTTGTGCTGCTCAATATTTTTATTGATTTTTTTTTAAACCATGATACATTTTTTTCAAGATTCTTTAAATAGAAAATTAAAATTAAAATATTTTTCAACATTTGCAAATGCATTTACTGCCACTTATTGTCACTTAAAGGACAAAAAAAATCTTACTGATCCCAAATTGAACAATACACTATTACATAGTATATTAAAAATATATAAAATAAAAATATATACATTTAAAAGGAATTGTCAGTTCAGTTTTGAACGGCACACAAGACTCTGACACTGGCTGTCAATACATTAAAATTGTTAATGCCAATAAACCGTTTTCCTTGCAAAACACTGTGTTTATATTGTTATTGTGATTTCATTGTCAAAATAATGATTGTTTTTAAACTGATTTTCTAATCACTTTTCCTACCTGCCACTGGTCAGACAAACAGTCCCATCTCAAAGGTGCACTAAAGTTTCTGTCAGCTTAGCTGGAGTATTCAAACAGAGCAATGTTTGATAACATCACAAATCACAGCTTTTACATTTCTGGAAGGCTTCAGCTTATGAATGGCTTATTTATAGATGTCTCTGGCTGCATATTAAGCTGGGATATAAAAATATATATATATTTAAACAGGTTTATCCATGTGTTTGATTGCATTGCTGATATTTTCTACTTGTTGTGCAAGTATAAAATTTATATTTTATACTCACTTTGATCATAATTAAATTCCACCATAAGGCAATGCATTATAAATGTAGGCCTAATGCTGTTAAACATTTAAATAATCTCAGAATTTAACATGTTACAATAGTCCTAGTCATAGCAAGTTTCAGATTAACTTTTCGTTATAAACATGTTGTGCTTTCATGTGCATTCACGTTTTTTGAGCAAGACTGAAAAAAAAAAACATTGCTCCTTCACAACCTTTAATATAACTAGGAAACAAACAGACAGATACACAGTACCATCACTTACTCTCGAATCTTCTTCTCAGTGCCGTCACTGCCTGGATCATAGACACCTTTGGGAAGATGCTGGATGAGGCCGATCCTTTGAGCGATCCGCACCTGCTCCTCTTCGGTCAGTTGGGTTGCCAGCCGGGCCTGGCTGGGAGTGGGGTGATACACAGGCACATGGATCTGCTCCTGAAAAAACACACACACACACACACATACACGGTATAAGAACATATAACAATAGTGAATATTCATGGATCACTTCTTGTGGGGTTTGAGATCTTTAACCACTTCCATGCCACTCAATATAACGCAAAGTCATATATGCCTAAACTAATCCAGAACTGAATATGCAGCTATACAGTACAATGCTCAGTACAGTTATGAGTAAGCATCTTAATATTTGAGGCACATGCAACCAAAGCTCCACCAGGGGGCGATCTTTCCCTTTGTGCACCATTTTGATGAGAAAAAAGCCCAAATGGGACCATGAGTCCAAAGGGTACTTATAAAGAGAGGGAGGTGAACAATAGTTCCCATTGAGACAGGTGCCTGCTCAGCATTCACTAATGAAAGCTGTTTGAGAGACTGGGAGTATGTTTAAGCTCTGTGTGCTACGTATTCTGCTAAAAACATTAGAACAAGTGGTTACAGTATTTTTCATAGCAAATGAGAATCAAAATTTAAACATCTATTTGAATTTCATGAAGAGCAAAACTTCTATTATACACAGGAAACTCTGTATAACAGTAAACAACAGTAATTATTAGACTTATTTTAGTGTAGAGACAGAATTCATAAGTTAACACACTCATTATATTTTTTTCAGCACTGCCCTGATGAATATATTTAAATATCCATTATGCAGCTTATTCAGGACTTCAGTTATATAAAATATAATGTATTATAATATAACATATATAGAGTATATAGAAATTAATAGAAATTTGCACACATATATACATACACACATTATATTATTTCATAATTTCTATAACAATATAAATACAAAATCAACATTTCATGAAATACATAAGTATATAAAATAAAAATGTACAAAATGTAAAATTATTAATTAACAATAATAATGTATATATGTGTGTGTGTGTGTGTGTGTGTGTGTGTGTACACACACACACACACACACACATATTTGTGTGTGTACAGTAAGTTTTTAAATCCCTTTTTTATTATTATCTCTATATTTAACATCTTACCGTTCTGCTCACAATTTCACATACCTCTCTTTTCTCAAAAGTTTACTCATCCCTGTGCATAATCGGTGTTAACCTAACCACCATTACAGCGCAATACCATTAAATTACCACTACACCCAAGAGAGGACATTAATATATCGTTTCAGGTGTCAACGATTGTACCTTGGAGTTCAGATCACGTCTCTCTTTAAAACCCTACAATAAATTTGCCTTGTAAATGAGTGTTGATTTGTGAATGGTGGTGTTGATGGTTATTGGATTGGAGGTTTCACACTCGGTGACTTTGCAGTCTTGGGAACAACAACAAAAAAATCAGCACTGCTTTGGCTCAGAACAGCTACGAATGGCCAAAGCTCAGATATTGCTCCATGGATAATCATACTTGGCAGATATTTATTACTTCCTTACATTATAAACCTCTAACCCACATTAATATATACGCACGCACCACGATAACGATTAATCAGAAGTAGGACATGTTTCCACACAGGGGAGTAAATGCCCATAGGCTGCAGTGAGACGTGTTCTGTAGAAACCAGGCCTGACGGCTGGGAGGTGCTGCTGGGAAAAGCAACCATGGCGTAGTGCAGTTCCGATTTCAGTTCATATTAAAGGTGAGCTTTGAGATCAGGTTCAGTGCTCACTTGAGAATTAGGTCACACAGCGGCCATACTGAATACAATCATATGACGGACAGGTTACACTACCTATCTGAATACACACTTATTTGTACACCGGCTGAAGACACAACCAAATAGAAAGAACATTTGTGAGGCATGTACACACTCATAATGTAGTGGTCAGCACTCTGGGATCCAGCAAAAAAAGGTGTGTGTGTTTAGCTGGAAGCAGAACCGAAACATGATCGTTCTGACAACGACGGCAGTGTCTTCTCTGACACAGTCTCTGAAACTCTTGTGTTTCACACTATGGAAATCTAACAAAGGTTGAGTCGCTACCGGAGTTGCTGACTTCACAGGTAGCATTTTTGTATGAAGGTTCATCTTAAAGGTAATGTATTTATGTATTTCTGTGGCACTAGCCTCACCAAACAGAACAAAAAGAGTAATCTGAACACCTGCCCCATCTGCTATTGGCTGAAAAATAGATAGTCCCTCCTCAAATACACTCCAATGTTGCTCTGTCAGGCTGGTCAGGATGTTTAAAGGGGCAGTTCACTGGGTTTTTTCTAGGCTTGATTGTGTTTATGGGGTGCAGTCTAACATGTTAATGCTTCGTTTAAAAAAAAAAAAAATGTTAATGCTTCGTTTAAAAAGAAACGCATTATTTTTCACATAATTTACTTTTATTCCACACAGCTCTGTCCCTTCTCTGAGAAACAGGCTGATCTTTACCTGTTTTTATGAAGCCCCGCCCTCAGAAATAAGCGATGGGCTCTGATTGGTTAGCTAACCCAGTGTGTTGTGATTGGCTAAACTGCCTCAAGTGCGCGTCTAATCGTCCCGCCCCTCACCTCAGCGGCATGTGCTCCGGTTGTATTGTAAACTCGGCATCGTTAATATCGCTTATCAGTTTGAGCCCGATTGAAAAGCAGAAGATATTATTGAAGAGGATTGTGCAGAACCTGTGCAAGCAC